TAACCAACGACAATCCTCATCCCTTGGGCCCCAACCTGGAAGGCGGACGGCTCCAACCGAAGTCAAAGCTGAAGTTAGCTTCTTTATACCTCTACGCTAAGCCATGGTCTGACCGCCGCGGTGCTTCTTTCAGCCTTGCCCGGCAAGTGCAGAGAGAGCACGGCAAGGTGCTCGATGGGCAGGCATACGCAATACGTGACCAACCCATCGGAGGCGGCTTAGAGCGATTAGTTTTGTTAGGGAACGACTATCCACACCCAATACAAGACGACGAACCTCGTTATTGCTCACCCGATGTTCTCACCAGACACGAGCAATCCTTCGGAGAAATCAATCTACTGAATATTTATTTTTCAATCCACGAAATGAAGCCCCGAAAACCCTTGTCTTCTGAGAGTGTAATAAAGTGAACTTCCTCGTCTCTGACAAAGATCACGCATTGAGTAAAACATAAAACAGAAGCCTGGGAAAATGAAATGAACCAAAACGAAAAACACATCAAGGATAAAAAGGCATGATCCATTCATGTGACATTAAACAGCAACACCAAAATGTAGTACTCAAGGAAATATTTGATCAACTAGTGAGTAAAATCGAGCAGAGAGTACGAATTTAATCTTGGATTTGGTTTTCTCGGGGATATTTCAGTTTTTCAGTTTGTACAACCGTTAACTGTGCACTTCCACGCGGGTGTTTTGGCTGCCTATTTGGATGTAGGAGCAAAAGTATTATTTTAATTTAGTAGGGAATTCAGGTGGACTAAGGTTGAAAGGATATTGAGTAGATGAACGAGCGCCCCTAGTTACAACAAATTCAGTGTTTCTAGTCATTGATTACATTGATGTTGAACTACTCATGTACTAAGCCTAACACGACCTTTATGACCGATTCACTTGGTCGGAGATTTATACCCTCATATTTGGTTTGAGTTTGACTAGATTTGGAGATACTCCGGACAATGATTACCCTATCGGACGCCAAAGATAAGCGATTGAAAACACCTTCACAAGTGCTCTAGGATATGTACAATGCCTGTCTACCTCGAAGACAATTCTAAGTGTGTGTAGTCCAAAATTGATGTTGTGTTACCTACGTTACTTTAAATATTTCTAACCAAATGTGTCGTACGCTTCTAACTTATAAGTCCTTTTCTCGTGATAAACTGTCTACACACTCTTCCGGTCTGAAACGAACGCACCAAAGATTAAGCATACACTGTGGAAATCACTCAAGCAAAGCCCCAGAACTGGTGGCAGTAGGAAATGCTATTCATCCCTTTCGTGAAAATCTGACGCTTATCACTAAGGCAACGAGATAACCTGGATATGTTCTGTGGTCATGTTATTCGTGCATTTGCATTGACTTCATATGTCATCAGTCATTTGAAAACAAGCTTTAACTGCACCGGTTTTCATGAAAATTTTCTGTTGGATATACCGTTCATAGTGTACTATGAGACTTGCAATTCCTATGTTGCACAAGGAATGAGCACGAAAATAGCAAAGGTTTGCTGTGCAGCCAAAATCCTTCGGGCTGTGGATCTTTGGCTAGATCGAAATGTGGCTTTGTTCGGAGAGCGGGGCGTCGCTACCCTCAACTACCTACTGACTTGTTGTGCAATTGCTATTATAACATGAGTATCATTCAACAGAAAAATATTATACCTCGTTAAATGTGAACCAGAACGGTAATGCTCACACACAGCTCGGTTAGATGGTTACCATTATTGGCAAGTAAGTTTTACCTCGGCGATCCGAATGCTTTGTCCCACTGCTTGCCAGCGAGGTGACCGATACAGCCATACCCAGCGAATGGTCTCTGCGGTGTGTGGTGGTGGTCGGTGTGGTGACGGCGTGTTCGTTACTGCCACCACCACCACTACCTTCAATATGCCCACTCGATCGGGCTACTGTGTGTTCCAGTACAGATCCCGGCTGCTCACTGGTTGTACGACCGGCCCGGGCGAGGAAATTCACATGCCTCGAACGAGTCCGTTCACGTCGTTCCAAGCGTTGTCGACTGGGCACAAGGCCAATCGGACCGGCCACTTCATTCGACATGGGGTCGATACGTTGCGCCTGTGTGTTTGTGTTTGTCCGTACACAACACGCAACAGGGTGATGACAGATCACGGGTGGCGTACAACCACATGGTTGAGTGGTTGAACGAACGCCCGGAACAGATGATCCACGAAGTGGATAAGCATACGTGTATGCGTATATCGGTTTCGCGTGTTTGTGTTTCGGGTGGGTGGTTGGCAGTTGAAGGTTGTTTGGTGGAGCAGAGATAAAAACGAGTTGAACGGGTTTGAGCGGAGCGACGAATGGAAAAGGGCGGGAAACAGGATCGGAACACAGAAGGGACAAGATGATTCCCGTACAGTTAGTTTCGCTTATGACATTCTCCGTCCTCAAACAAAGTAACACGAACAAAAATTGGGTTTGGATGAATGACATGGACGGTGCTGCCAATCAAATGAAACACAAAACTTGACTACGCAAAAAGGAAAAAATCCATTCTCATCAAGGAGGTACGAAAGGTTTGATTTCCTCGCTCGGAAACAATTGAAACGTGTCGTTGTAGGAATGGTGCGTGCGCACACACGCATAAAGAGACAGAGTAGGAGTGTTGCGAAAATCTTCAACACTTCAATATCATTTCTCTTGTGTGTGGCAAAGAAAAGAATCATGGAGCAGTTTTACCCAAAGTCGAATATTGATGTTTATAAAGGAAAATATTGACCTTAATCATGAACAGTAAGGGATGTAGTTAGTGTTATGATACCTTACGCACATATTCGCGGAGCTAAAAAGGTGAAATTAATTTTTGCATTAACTTCCATAAGCATGAATTTTGTGATGATCACGATTTGCATCAACAAAAAAACACTAAAACCACCTGATAATAATTGAGTGAACAGTGCAGACAGACTCATAAAGAAATACCTATTGACCTGTTTACGAAAAACTTTTGGAAAGGGACATTATCGCAGATACATGTTTCGACACTATACAGTCCAAAAGAGTAACCAGCGGTAAATGATATTTCAATCCCAAAAGACCATTCTCCATCTCTCATTCTTAACTAAAGAGATTAGTATCTAGGATGTTTATAAGCAGTTTACAACAGCAAATCAACAAAACATTTAGTTGTTAGGGGGAAGAAAACTTATTTGTGCCTCCATTACAAATCGTTTTCAAGCTGGGTGAAGCCATTTAAAGCAGATAGTAATTATAAAATAGCCCGTGGTTAACTGGTAAGTTAGTTTTTAATAAGGAAAACAAGTTGTACGGCGTTGATTAGGCGTAGCGCTGCGGTAGTATACGGGGAAAATATTAATGAAAGTTATGGTACAATGTTTCGCAGCCAGACTGCCAGCGTAAGGTAAGAAGATGATGGCTGGTTAAACTGGTGATACGAATTGATGGTAAATTCACATCAGACATGATTCAACAAGAGTAGCAAATGTGTCTCACCTCCCACCACTCCGGATCATTCCAATTGATCACACAAATTAGGTCACCGGAACGCAGTGCAAATGCCTTTTTCGGTACAGCCTGATGACTTTCTTTGCTCGGCTCGTAATCAACTTGACAACGTAGAAACAACTCATTGGCCTCGAAGTTAGGTGGGACGGATAACCCAGTACTGGCTGTTTCAGAAGATGGTGCAGTGGTGCTTGACTTTCGTGGTCGATGATGTCTGTTTCCGTGACGCGAGTTATCTGATTCCTCCGTCGGGATAACACTTGTTATTCCGGCAAGTTGCTTGGCTGTCTTCGAGGACATTTTGTGTCCTACTGCTTTCAACTGTCGTGAGTAGTACTTCTCAAATTCAGCATATTCTGTTACAAATAGAGTGACCAACAAAATTACTTTGCGGTTCAATCGGGGCGCGAAATCAGTATGCGAAATAAAAAGTTAATGCTTGATTGTTTACCAACTCATAGGTATCGTATTGAAAATGAAATGTGTCAAACAAATAACACAGCGTTAAACTACGACTAAATAATTAAGAAAATTAGTATTTATTCAGACTGCATCAGACAAGGGCCTACTGGCTAAAAACGATTCAATCCTCACAGGACTCGAGCAAGGATCCTATATGAAATATTTTAAGTCAGCACAGATGAAAAGCGAAAAATCTGTACTAAACTGACAGCAAAGCTCCATTAGTACAAAAATACATTCAATTGGATGAACCAAGCGTTGGAGTGCATTAAATGGCTCACACCCACGATACGGTGAAATAAATAAGTCAGTCCTTAATGGTCGATTTCAAATGGCTTTGATAATGATAGATGCCAATCATAATGTCACTAGCGAAAGCAATCCCAGGAATGCTTTAACGTCCAATTACACGTTCCCATTACTTCAGGAGAGGAAATGCAGCTATTAAGAAACACATTTTACTACTGAATGATTAAGTGATTGGTTCATCAATTCGGTACAAATGTGAGAAGTAAAAGCAAATTAATTTACCTCGTCAACTGAAAGTGGAGTACACTTTCAGTTGACGAGGTAAATTAATTTATCAGCCTCGCTGCAAAGATAAGACATCATTGTCAATAGGGGGATTCAATCCAATCTACCGAGAGTGGAATTTCAGAAAAATGGCCACATTCGGTTTTGGAAATTATAGCGAACTTTCTCATTACCATGAACAAAACTGTAATCTTATTAAAATTGGTATTGTGAGAGCTGGACTATGTCCCATTGATCTGCTTCGTGTGTTTTCTGGACGTTCAATTTAGTTCAGAATAGGTAATGAGCGTATTTTCACATGACCCGTTTTGGGGAAAATGTGAGACTTTCAACAGACTTTGGTGCACAAAGCTGTTGATAACATGAAATGAAACGCGAAACAACACTGAGGTCACTGAATTTTCAAAAGTAAGATACAGAACGAAATTCTGAGGACATTCTTGATGTACAAAACAAAATGTCTCTAAAGGCCTGTTACAATAATTCCGGATGGCTATTAGTCACGTTATAGTAAGTAGCTAGTTTACATTACAGAAGCTGTACGTCATCACAATTTCGAACGATCTTATAATGATTTCAGACACCTGTTACCTAGGAAAGGCCGTTTTGTTATTTATTTTGAGGAGAATCACCAACATGTTCACCCCGGGAAAACAAACGGTAACACGGTTTTATGCATGGAAACTTGCGTCAACCCTTAATTTATGTTCATACAGCTTCCTACCGATCCAATGTAATATACATATATACACTAAAACCACCAAAGCTAATTTTGTTTCCCAATGGTGCTTCTAACTATTGCATAATGAGCAGGATTTGAATTACGGGATGATTTCAGTCATTTTCTGAAACCAATTATAACGAGTTGCTAAAACACTAGCACAGTCTAAAGTTTAAAATCAGTTACTGTAATGATTCATTAAAGCACAATGCTTTTAAGAATTTGCAGTGGGAAATGAGCATTCTGAAACAACCATTGTAAAACTCAGGTTCGACCACTCGGACCTGTCCATCGATTCTCTTCCTGCCGGTTCACTGAAATGTAATTTCGTATCAGGACATAACCCTAGATTCTTGTAAACCGAACCCAACCAGCCGCTCTAGTTTGCTGTAGGTGAAACTCTGTAATGTACTTTAACACTAATGGCTATGGTTTTTTCCCTGCAAAGGTGAATCTGCGTTATGTTATACACAGATGCATATGAACGGGGTTTCCATAATCCGATTCACAGAAGCACTAACAGAATTTAAATGGAAATAAGGACAAACCGCTAAGTCAGATTCTGTATCATTGTTTAGTAATCGATTAACAAAGTTATCAAACGAAACGCACATCGCAAATGTTAGTTGGTTTGCCAAACCAACTGCAACCACAAGGAAGTCTATGAAAGAGGAAATCACAAACGAGTTTTCAAAAAGAAACTCGTTTTACCGACTGCAATCGGTGTTTCTTTACACCTAACTAACAACGTAGCATGAATACATATTTCAACGGAAAGAGATTGATCGATTATCATCACCGCCATTTCATTAGATGCGCAAAACGTTTGGGATTTTGGGGTAGAAAATGTGCCGTACATTCAGTTTCTTTCACAAAATTAGATAGAGGAAGAAATGAGCTGCCCAAGAAATTCTTTCACTTCTCTGATGCAACGGCACGTTGAAAAACGGCAACATAAAACCGCCATGGAGAAGGGATAAGAAGAGATCGTCAGAAAAATATAGATAGTATACTATGATTGATCTGAAGTGAAGGTCAACAAGTAACGTAATCTAATCGTGTTAAAATATTGGGGAAAGGACTGTCCAAGAGTTCTTAATGAAATCTGTTCTGGTAAATCCAATGAGGAAATGTTGTTGTGGACTGGATGACTAATGAAAAAACCGGTTTGAGTTCAAAAAACCTTGTAATCCAGTAACGGACGTGAAACAAACTGCTTGAGTGATTTTCCTTTTACGATGTGTACACGTTGGCTAGTAAGTCCTCGGTGCAGTGCATCTTCCATGTAACTTGGCTGATGCGATTCCAGAATCGTTTTGACAGTCGCGTTTCGATCAAGCGGTGTTTTATTTACACCGCATTCAAGAGACAGCAGGTTTTTGAGTCCGGTCCGACCAGACTATACGAGTTACGCTTACGAGATCTGGTATCAGTAAATAACCATTTATACTACGGGAATGGGACGATGGAAAAACTTTAAAGGGAAGAGCGGAAAGGTAAAGTGAGCAAAGTATAATCAAATAGGGATAGGAAACCCAGACGAAGTGTGTTTACTTACTCAAAGAAAAATCACGCCGTGAAATAATTTACGTTTACCCAAATTTGTAAGTTATGCATTAAACAGCTAAAAGAAAATGTGCTAGTTAGTTAATTCAAATTATTATCGTTCAAACCGTATAGCCTCGAATTAAACAGAATGTAACTTCACTGAATATGGTTCAGCTGAATACGATCTGGTTTCACAGCTGTGCTATAACTACACCAATTAATGATGCAATGAATAATGGTAACGTACGTTCAACTGCATAAGGTTAATTGATACAACTGGTAATCCGAGCGAAAAAATTGCCCTATTAGTTTATATTATGTTCGATGAAGTAGCAAAACAAATGTTTTATATGGTACATGAAACCGGAACTAGGCAACTAACCAACAAAACACGAACAGTGTAAACGCATTTGGTTCCTCCGTTAGAAGACGGAGGTGTAACAACGTTCAACGTTGCCCGTTATAAATTTACAATCTAAAAACGATACATTCCTACCAGTGAGTAATTGTGAACAAACCAAATCTAAGGGGACTGCAGTTAGCCGCACTCCGTCCATTCACAGTTGTCCACGTAATCTGTTATGTGATGACAGATACGTTGAAATGTTTAATAAATTTCGTCAAGTATAACAAAACTTCCTTCGAAGGTATGCTCGGTTTTGGGGATAAAGAAAGCGATCAATCAATCAACTCCAGATGAACATGTGCAACTGTTTCTCTTTCCTACTATTTTTTCACATTCTGGTTTAACCAAACACCCGTGTGTGTTTGCCCATGGCTCTATGTGTAAGTATCACGTGATAGTGCGAACAAGTGATCCGAACCAACCTCCCGATCGTGCGCACCGAACATGAAAACAGCAACCTGCAATGAGTTACACCATGTACTGATCTGCCACTAGGTATTAGGAGAACATTTAAAATAAACAGGAACTGTTAAAATCTAAAGTCAAAGAGGTTCTCATGTTTAATTGTCCTCTTGGCAGTTTTGGTAGGTGTAGTTATTAGAGCGCCAAAAATCGTGACAAGAATGTTATTGCAGTCTTGGACTTGATTCGAAGGTTTATCATCTAACGGTGCAGTACATAACTGAGCAAACAAACCGATAAAGTATGATAGCGCTGTGCTATGTTTCCTTGAAAAAAATACAAGGGACAAAATTGACCGGAAACATTACCAGTTTGTTGGACCTTGAAGCTTATCGGATATGTGTATCTGGCAACCTTTTGTCAAGTCATTGCCGTGCTTATACTCCCGAAAGTGTATTAGGCAACGCAAACTGCTTTCGAGTTCGCTGAGATCAGACACATCATAGATTCATTGCAATGCTTCTTCGAAGTTGACCTTCCTCGAATCCGCTACTCTCTGGCATGCATATGAATTTGAAATATATATATATACATATATATTGATGATGATTTATGATTCGGCATTATCCAGTAGTGCTCATCCATTGAAGTTTGTTAAATGTTTTCCACGCACTCATATTTGGAAAATTTCTCTTCCAAAGCAGAAGCTGATTTAAATAGTTGCGAGAAACTCGGAGATATATAAGCATATGTCTGTATCACTTCTACCAGATTTGCTTGAGGAGCCACGAAAGGGACTATTTATACATACAATTGGATTGATCAGTGAAATAAGTAGTATTATCATGGAACTTTTGAAAAACTCATTCGTGTATATTCATGAATGTTTTACTGAGCGTGTTGCAACCTACAAGATTAAGTCGTGGAACTAGTAACAGAAGGCAAAATCATATTTCTTCAATTCGCTGAAAGAAAAACAGAAAACTATGAAATATATTGTGGCACACTGATGATACCACATTCATCCGTCTTTGTTCGTGGGTATCCGTTGCGTTTTCTGTCCTGTATACATACCCCCAGTGAGTTTTAAAGTGTTCATCAGCGCTTGTGTTCATCCATCCTGAATATCCAACTTGGAGACGGGTATTGCTGAATTATTTTACTGTCAGTCAAAGGTTTACTTTGTTCCAATGAAGAATGGAATAGTAATAACGGACGCTGTTGTAGCCGATTGCCCAGTGTGATCCCTCTCAATGTGAGCTCAACGTTGTAAGACCACCTCGAATGAGTCGATTACGAGAGATCTCGGACTTTTGGTATTATATCCATGTTCAAACTCTCTTAGAAAAATTGGACTAGTATGTAAGATCAGTCCGCTGCTAGCATAATGCCATCATAGCAGAAAAGTTCCGCATTCCTAATTTCCCGCGTGGTGTATTGCTCACTACTTATTCTGCTGTAGTGATTCTCTTCCAAGTCCCAGGCAGTATAGAATTCAAAAATTATTCTCCTATTGGGATCCTACAAACACGATCGATCGGGTACATTCATCGATCGGTCAGAATAACCAGCTGCGCCAAGGGACTTTACGCTTGCCCAGCTAGCACCATCTCTTGCGTCGGGAAAGTTCATTGGATTTCGACTGTGCAGAGTGTGAGCCATTATCACATGGATGAGCACTGGGTAACAACAAGCGCATCTAAAACAATACAAACTGGACAGTTTCGGCTAAGGTTTAGGGATAACAACTTGCGCAAATCTCAGAAAATAATCCAACAGATCGAAAAGGGGGCCAGATGAGAATTTCTCCAAATGAGGTCACGCATGATAGGGATTAAATAATTTGAAACCATTAAGTAATCGCACTATAGACGCAGGAACCATTCATCTCTTAGGAAGGATTTCACAATTTACTGACAGTGTTTTGTATCACTAAACCTGTAAAAGCCTAACAGCTGTTTACCTTCAATACTGGACATTCAATAAAGAAAGTCCGATCACAAATTTGCCATCCGTCTGAATCAGCACAGTACGACAAAGTCCTAACAACCTTGGAAATTAATCGGAATAACTAGGAAAAATTATTCTTGCAACAAATACTTTTAGTTTACGCCATAGTCCAATGACCATAGGCTGAACGGCCTATACATCGGGACGGCGAATATTTGAATACATCGGTCAATGATGTACAGTATTCAATACGCAATCAGCAATTCCGCTTAGGAATAATACATAAGTCGTTTTGTCAACGTTACTCAAGTCATCCAACAGGCAGATTCAATACCACCCAGCTGCATGACAAGAAAGTGCACTTGCGGTCTTATTTGATTTGATGCTCAAAGTAATACAAATAAGGTTGGCAGTCTGAAAAACCAAAAAGCATCTGCTTGGGATTTCTCAGTTCATCTCTCTTATTTATTACCGTGTTGAGGTGCAAGAAAGCCGGAGAAAAGAATGCAAACCACAATGATGCAAATTCGTTTTTGAACACCAAACAGGAAATGTTGTGTTAAATCCATTTTATCATTTTTTCCCAAATGTGAACAACCGAGTTACCGATGGTATAGATATTATCAGTCATTTATTTAATCATACTTCAAATTTTTGAATTATCATTTTTACTTTACCGGAGCACCAAACAACTTTCGTCAAAGAAAAATTGCAACAATTTGCAAATCAAACAAACAGAAAAAAAACGCATGAATCAGTTCAAGGTGCAACTCACCGTCTGGACAGTAGACGACAACCAAATCAACCCGATCCGGTGCACTACGCAACACAGCAGCCGCCTGTTCGTGTCCGTGTTCTGACACGTCGATTCCGTTCACCTGTTGCAATTTTGACACGTTTTAGTGGCAAAGGACGATGACGAAGGCAAACATGAACGAAAAAGTGAAGAAAAAACAGTATGTAAAGGAATCCGTGCGCTAACGATTTGTTCTATATGACCAATAATCCAACACGAAAGTTTATTGTAATGCCCATGAGAACTATCAGACAACTTCCGTTTTCATATCTTTCTTTCACCATGGTGCAATTTGTTCCCTCAAGTTTCGCAATTAGTAACTCAGTTCACACGTTAGTTTCATTTTCACTTTGTGCTTTCAAAAAGAGATAAAGAAGATCCAGCCAATGCAACATTTCTACTTTATCATGATTTTACCCTTGTTCCTCAGAATAAATGATCACTAAGATTAAACCCAAATACAGACCTACCGTTTTTATTTTGCAGAACAAACAACATTTTTATGTTATTGTGCCACAAGGAAAACATGTTTTCCTAGTCCTGATGATTATCAAACCGGTCGTTGTTTACATGTTTTACCGGACGAATTCGGAATGAAGGACTCTGTTTTGTAAAATGCTGTACGGTTGAGACACTAATTGTATAGCATCAAAGGAGACAGATGGGTACTCAAAAAGAGAGAAAAATTGCGAAAACATAATACAAAGACATTCTTTAAGGAAAACCAAAATGAAATTGAATCGTTGTGAAAATATTCATTTACTAGAAATTATTTTTTTTACTTTTCCATTGATTTGTTCGGTGTAAACTGTTTCCGTAATGAAACTGTACGTTTTGTAAGAACAACGGCTGAATTGAAACCGTGGTATTTTACGTTTTCTGTTTCTTTGGAAAACAGAAATCTGTTGTGGTGACTGTGCAAATACGGGATGATAAAAGTCGTTAAATAGCTACAAGCAGCGCCATACACGACGAAAAGCGACAAAACATTATATTGTAGACCTACACATCGAACTTCAGCACGTCCAAGGCGGTCCAAACAACATCTATAATAATGATCTCGTGTTGTTATGTTTTGCAGTGATTGCGTATTTCAATATAAGCGATTCAGAACGATCTGGAATAATAAAAAATTCTCATCTACCACCTCATGCAAAGACGATACGAAGTTCACTTGCATCAGTGCAATTATCCCGATCTATGGTTTATATTTCAATAACTATATAGGTGCTGGTAGGATCAGGCGGGAGATGATCCAGTGTTACCTGTCTTTGCTTCCAACACTACTGGCACGTGCATTAGTGATCTGTTATTGCTATACGGTCGGATGTAAGTAACTAGGTCAGATTTACAAACTTACGCATTGATTGAAAACTGCAGTAATTTTTACAATCACTTAATCGCCAAGTGTTTTCACAGACGCATAAAGTACAACTTGAACCATGCACGCCTAAACTGTTCGAAAGCTGAACCGAGGAAAACAATGTAATTAGTGATATTCAACGTCTGTTCAAGTTGTGTTTCCCTTAATCGTCCCCAACTACAGAGTATGTTGATGAGAGGATTCGGGACATTAGTGCAAATCTTTCGTTAGCTAAATGTTACTTTTTATCACTTGAAACCTTTTTATACGATATTAACGGTTCACAATAATTAAAGACTACTTTTCTGTCAATTCACAAAATCTTCCAACCAGCTTTTAAATTTTTTGCATAGTTCCACCGAATGACGATATAAGCAACATAAACGAGACCCTGATTTCGTACCTCGCAGCACAACTCACATAAAGCAGCACGATACAGGCAGTCACCTCAACTCCTTATAGTTTCGCATTCAGAAATTTTCGAAGGTGCTATGGCTCCTGACTTTTATCGAGCTCTAACCAATATAAAAGTGGAATATTTGAGAGGTTCCGTGCTGCAGAGTAGAGAGCTGTGGGTATCGTATGCCCTCTTGTTGGGTTAGCAGACGGTTGACAAACAAGATTTATTCCCCTAATCCGCAGAACAACTGCATTTGAACTTTGTAAAACACGGTATTCACAGAAATTGTCAATGATAACTTCATTCATTGTCTTCTTAAGGTATGGGTATCCTCACTACAGGTCGAAAAAGAAAAGACCGTAACCGCTACTTTAACCAATTCGTTCAGCCATAGAAATCATTTTGGGAAGCTTAAGTGCCAATTTCCTTTAATCTTCTCAGTCGCTGACCTGAAACAAACAGGCACAGGATTGATTATATCAAATCCTTTTGTGCACACAAGGTGGGATGATGTAATGAAATGAGCAGTGCTTCGCTAATTGTCAAAAGTTCAGCATTGCAATTACGTAATATTGGTTTGAAAGACGAATTAGGGTCAGCTGTGTGTCTTGTTGCCATATGTTTTGCAATAGATGACCCTTGATTTCTTGTAATCACTTGGCCATCAATTATCGGTTGCGTCAACGATTTCACCAACCACTTTGGAATATGTTCGACAATACGTAATCGCAACGCTAACATTTTGACAAGTAGTGAAGCACTGCACATTTGATTACATCACTCGACTTGGGTGCAAAAAACGTTCTGGTACAATCAATCCACTTACCGTGGAGATGACCTTCTATTTCTAAATTTATTATTTCAACACGTAACCAACTACGGAGAACCGGCAAACGTGCCACGACATATGAACAAAAAAAATAGGTTGTGTGGGCATGTTACTTCCCGGTTGTCCTGGCCGAGGAGGGGGGATAACCTCGGGGTCCTCACCCGAAGCCTTTGGCTAGAAAGCTAAACCTGCAAGACAACAGGACGGAGCTCAGAGTCGGTATTCCATAGGGAGCCAGTGTCCAGTTCATCGGATCATACGCCCCTCTGGACGGGGTCAATCGTCTAAGGTGCCCAAAACACACGATGCCCGAGTGGGCCGATGCCGATTGCTACAACCGAAAAGGTGTGGGTGTGGTTCGTACGCTTCCTCTTGGTTGATTTGAAATTAGGGTTTTTGGCCAACTCCCCTAGGTGAACTGCCAGTGATACACCAGCTCGGTTATAGCCCCGGATGTCGGCTTTTCGTCCTCTCACTTTGGTGGAAAACATCCCCGCCAGGAGAAGGCCATGAACAGGGCTTCATCAGCAGAGGCTATTTGAGACGCTTGGTTTTATGGGAACATTTCGCGAAGTGCAAGGGAAGAGTGACCAGTGGCAATCCTAGACACCCACCCCGACCATAGTGAGACTTTCTAAGTTTAGTAATCTTTGAAGGCTTGTACACTTCCGTTTACCATAATTTATTGATCCCATGTGCTATAGATTTGTCTGTTTGTTTCAAGTCAGCAGATTAAATGAAATGTTAACATCTTGCGACATTCGTTTGTTTTCCGTATTGATGAAATCGATAAAGCGAACTCGATGCTTCAAGCTTAAATGTCCCTATCCCAAGCTCTCCTATCCCCTCAAAAGAAGAGACACATGTACCGCGGATCAGATGATAGATGATTGCAATTCTCAAAAAATATAAATTTTTTTTTCGGGTATCCATGGTCATTGAGAGATCAACATGGATAGGGGTGAGTAGGAATGTACGAAACGAAACATTTATTCTGCAATATTTGGTTAGTAGTTTCACAAAAGGCACCTGATCCATGATCAGGCAAATCTACAGTCACCTCTTCTTAAGTCACAGTATTAAACCCGTTTATCCAGTTTTAGAAACCGTGAGAATCAAAAGCGCATCAAAAACACTGCTCACAAATGAGAGTAGCACCCCATCTCTAGTAGAACTTCACCCACGAGCAAACCATGGACTGATTTCTTTGTTATATATATATATACTTCTGTTTAAAAAGTAAACATGAAAATGCATGATAGGATGGGTCTCTTCATCAATCTACCGGGACATTGCAATTAGTTTGTTGTGGAATTCCAACTCGATCCCTCGCATGAGTAAAACAGTTGACGGCCCACAGGTTGCGAACGGGATGGTTCAAAATCTACCAAACTTTCCAGTCTGTCCTCTTCCTCGGTTGAGAGAAAAATATCCCTTAATAATCACTTCTAACATCTTAGTTTGTTTTGTCGTTTGACTCCTTTGTGGTCATCTAGGGAAATGTTGGAGAAGGAAAATGAGTGTTCTGTTTCATCATATCATTCACTTTTGTACCGTTCTCTTTCCCTCACGATAAAACGAAATAATACTCGGTCTACCGTCTGTCCGAGGGACGTTCTGCTAGCGAACGCGTTACGGTAGAGATGCAAATGAGCACTAAACTTGTCCCGAAAAGACGGGCGCGCATCCACTTCTGTCTGTGGATAAAATAACACCGGCGGACATAGTTGAAGTTAAACCAGTGGTGACCTCGCTCTCTGCATATGTATGTCCATTCAGATCAACAGTGTCGAGAATAGACAGATGACCGGGCTACAAATTATATCGGAAAACGGCACAAATTCAGAATCGAGGACGAGCCGGGTAGAAAGAGCGGGAGGGGGACAGGCAGCGACAGTTGACCTACGCATGCACATTTACTTTCGATCGACAAACGACGACTGAACAGCCCCCAGAAAGGATGGAAACGTTACTGTCTCGGACCGCAAAATGACCCAAGGCGATGGTGTGGGAAAATTGATGTGATGAAGAAATCAGGAAAGCTTATTTATGCATCTATTCGGTTTTGTTGTTGCCAGTTGCAAAATAAATCAATGGAAAATTTCCAGAAGAGATTTAAGTCAAACCTAAGGCCACTTTGATGAAATCGGCTCAGACGATAAGCATTTATCTGGGGTCACCGTTTACGTTTATTACAATTAACGCTATAGAGTCATGTATGCAATAAGTCATACTTCAACGATAAGAGTAATGAATAATAGGAAACAGACAGTTGGTCTGCTGGCCGCCCATGGTTGCTAAAAGATCAATAACCCACACGAGAAGTAATCCATTTTGCTCTCCCACAGGAGTGATGGAATTTTTCAAATGTATTTAGAATTTCTATCTGATCAATTTTCTTTGCTATCCCAAGGCATAGGCCGGGTTCACGGGCGAGTCCCTCCAACAACCGTGATTTTTTTCATTATCGCAAAATATGAGAATATTTTTTGAAATAATTTTAAATGATGTAAACATTTAAGGGAGAGCATGATTATCGCAAAGAGGTAACGAATAGCACAATCAAAATTCAAGTATTCAAACGGTCGCCTGAATTACGCGGCATTGAGTCATCTCGATTGGGATTGTTGTACTTTACCGATCATATTCACTCTCTATTTGTTATTGAGCCATTTTCATTTTTACAACAGTATACTGATTCCAATGTCACTTTATTGCAACCTGAATGGGCAACGATAGAAAGTGAATAACTTAAAATAATGAAATCAAAGTAAGAGATTGAGAAAATCAAATAAAAACGTTGGTAGTGAGAAGAAAGGAGAATACTAAGGTGTATGACACTAAATGATTTCATTTTTGTATGGTTTTCTCAGGTTTGCCTTCCAATCACGGGCTCGTGTTTCAATCGGACCAGGCCAATATTCTACACCTAATTGCATATTCATGTCAGAGGTGATGATCATACTTTTGTTAGCGCAGATAATTTGAAAACCTACTGGGGGTGTGGACTACTTCTATCGCGGGGTATATGAAGTCGATTGGCTACTGAACGTGTAAAGATTAAATCTGGCTATGGGCCTAAAAAGCAGCTGGACGTGGGGTCAAGTCTCAAAAAAGCTACCGATTTTGTTGTGATCTGTTCGAATAAAATCGGTTTTCCAAAATTTGTTGAAACAACGTAAGTTTAATGCGTTCCTCGTGCAGTAAAATATAATGAAGCACACTTCGGTAATTGGTGCCAAACATTTTCAACACCTGAAAATTATTTACCAGAATGCGAGAGGAAACAACAACGGGCTCCAAAACAACACTCGCAATGACTGTCACTAAAATGGAATTCGAACACAGATCTTTAGTAAACCAGATTCAAAAATGATAAGGGCCAGAATCAACTAACAGAGACAGATTCCATCCACGTGGTAAGAACCGAAACAAAAACAATTAGCACCAGATGAACTTACGGCTAAGAGTCGATCGCCGACAAATATACGTTTAGACAACCCAGCTGGTTTGTCCGGCTGTACCTGGGAGACGAATGTCGCCTCGGATCCATCACCACCAACAATATTCAAACCAAGGCTACCACCAACTGAACGGCTACGACGAGGTTTTCGTTTATCATTCGGTTCTTGATTGGTGCTTGTGTAGCGTGTGTTACGGTGCAGTGTGACTAAACGTGCTTTTGGCCATTTGGACACGAGATCCGCGACGGATGCAGCCGCTGTATACTCAACTGGAGCAATATGGAAGCACGAGAAAGAAAATCAGAGTAATATGACGACGAAGAGGCTAGCAATGGCACGTGACGATACTTAAAAATGTTTCATTCGCGAAAAGCAGGGGATTTCAGAGTTAGGTTGCAAAAATATCTTATCAGGTACGAAATTGTTACCTACACCTTGGTTCTCGTAAGGCGAAATCGTTTATAAATGAACTGAGGTAAGTCTGTGAACGTCTATCTTTCGCTGCTGACAAAAATAGGTGAAGCGCTTCTGTGTTTCTATGGCTCATCGGTGATACCTGGTGCATAAATGTGTATACGCTTTTGAATCCAGTTAAATCTTTCTCTGGTTGTGCTTTGACGAACGTCAGCACATCTGTCTGAAAATAAAGTGCCTCAGCCAATTGATATCTGAATGATATTCTGTACTTCATTAGCTTAATTACCCAATTTTTTCATTTGTTTATGATGCTCATCGAGGATTTAACATAAGATGGTGAGATGTTGTTTGGTAAAAACGGTTCAAGAGACTCTTGATGAACTGTGCGTATAGAGAAGCTAATATATATCTTATTCGTTTAAATTTAAAAGTGTTTTTGCATGCAAATTTCACGAATTCCAAGCTCATCCTGTTCGATGGGCGGTTCGAATGACGAAACAATCAGGGAGAGAGAATAAAAACCGAATTCATAGCACCATAATAAACAGATCGAAAAGCATTGATTGATGGCAATCGGGTTTCATTAACATCTACCGTATTCAGTGATGATGAGCTGCATCGTCAATCGAAGGAATAGACTGTTATAACAATAATAATAATAATAATAATAATAATAATAATAATAAATAAATAAATAATAAATTTATTTTACTTCCTTTTTTAATTATGGAATATACAAATGTACAGTCAACTTTCAGGAAGGGAGCTGCAGCCAAACAAAGGCTGCCTGGGGAAATACAGAAATAGGGAAAACGGGCGGCGGTGGAGTAGTTCGAATCCAGGACTTCTGGGACACAGTTTGGTGGCCTGACCACTTGGACATCACCGCCCATTTAGCATTAAACGGCGTGGGGGATTTCATGTAGTACCCACTCCGATTGTATAGAGTTAACAATATTTTTAGTGAGTTTAATAAAGTAGCGACTTGCATGGATGCCACATTGACTGAAGCACTAACGGCAACATCCAGTGAATTGAATGATCCTGTCACTGCACCTAAATGCAGTCTTCGTTGACTTGGCGAGATGAGGACAAGTAAAAACGAATTATAGTAATCACAATTTACCGTACCTTGTGCACGTTAGAATGAAAAACGATTTTAGTTACTAAAAATGATCCTAAGGTGTGTGATACGCCTGAATGCATTATCCACCATAGATTAGCTATTCCTGATTAACTGCATACACGTACTTGTTCCTAACTGTTCCTGGAATTTCGTTATCTTTAGCGGGAATATGGAGATCAATTTGAGGGGAAATCCAGCACCGCTCTCCGAATGTTGACTTGGAATGAAACAGTGGTGAACTAAACCCAATAAAACGTCATGCTTTTCGATCCGTCCGACTTGAATGAGTTAGGAGAGACAATAAGGTCATAATATGATTTGTGAACTGTTTCCAACAGAACTGTATCTGGAAGACACACATTAATGAGGTTTTAGGTCTTTCATTTGCTCTGATAAAAATGCAGTGACTTTCCCCCATTGCTCCTCTTGCTTCTTTCACATTTCAAACAGCTTCCCGAACGAATTCACAAAAATAGCTCTGGTCCTTCAACCTATGATACATACTGGAGATAGCTGGAATTTTCTGAAGAATGGTGATAGTATAATGCTTTTATAAGGCCGATCTGAGTTAATGCTTGCCGTAAACAAAAGTTCATATCGGGAATGCTAGTTATCACAAAAATAGTCTGTTCCATAAGTTCTGTAACAGAATGCACAATGTACCCCAAGTTTGAATTTTATCTTGACAAAAAATTCAAGTTGTTCCTATTTTTAGGAGTATATGAAACTGATCAACGATTTTTGCACTGCTAGAAGGAATTTCACGGCTTCCCGGAGTCATGCATCAGGTTTTCTATCAGGATTGTATGGTATGACAGTTTCATCCTACTGTGTTCAACCATATTTGTGGTCTAGCCATCGGTCTAGACGGGTAAGCTGGTAGTGCCAAAACAGGTTCTCAATTCTAAGACAGGATCTCTGAACTGTGAAAATGACTGAACTTCGGTTTTACAGACATCTTATGATTTAACTTGCTTACAAACGCATATGACTACAGCTGTATGATCGTTCCCGTTCACCTAGGAAAAGATTTGCATTTCTTTTTACCAGACCGCAAATTACTGTTCCATTAGTTCAACAATAAGATCAGTTCGTCATCTTAGAGATGCCACTGCCCGCTCACGATGAACAAGCGTCTCAAAGAACTTCAGTGCACATTTGGTTTACCTTAAATTATTTTCATAACCTTTCGCTGCTATCGAACCCCCAAATGCCCAGCTTGACATTTACTGGTGATGGTGAACTTCATGAATTCCTGGACTGCCTTCATTTCAATTCTCTAACCCTACTACTGACAAACATGTTTATCTGTGTCAACGGTGGCTAAAATTCATTGCCAGATTGTGCTCAAGCGGAACTTCAAGGTACATTTGTTTAACTTCTTCAATGGGGATCAATAAACATTAAACTATACTTAAACATGCCTATCCATTGCCTATTTTCCCTGACATTGCGAGGTGACTTGTACAAAAGCTAGTATTTAGGGTAGAGGTTGGACAAATATGGGGCTGGTTTATGGGTCCAAAACAATACTGCTCAACTACGTTTTCGTATATGTAGTTGGTTATTGTATTATTCACTTTCTACTATTCTGAGTGTCCGTGTAACCGGATGAACTAAGCCGCTTCCAAATTCACATTCATTGCATACCAGACTACAACAAAAATGAAATCTAGCAGTAGTGGCCATAGGCGAAGTAGATTTTACACAGTGCACACAACAAAACGGAAGATTTGCACCATGGTTCAAAATGAAAATATGATGGAGATACACTTCCGCTCAAGCGAAACTGCCATAGCTCATGGTGTTTAGTTTGAATGATAAATAGTTCATTGATCTGATTTGTCATAGCCTGTCTACCGCGGTTCAACTTTTGGGAGAACCGCTCGTTCAGGCAAAAGATGAAGTGTTGGAAAGAGACGTCTGGTTGTTCAGAGTAACCGGGGCGTGGTCTCGATAGAATAAGTGCATAGAGTGTTTTGGTCATACATAAGAAAATGTCTATTGTAATGGAAGAAAGAGCATAAGAAAGGAGACTGTCATTGAGCTAGTGAGAATTAATATCAGCGATCCTGAACAAGCAGTATCGCAGTACCCATAAAAATACCAATTCATTTTGAGAACACAGTTTCCGGCGAACAAGTTGTTTCCAATAATTCATAGTCATGCCATACACTTTACATGAGAGGATAAAATCTCGGGGGGTTGGGAGGATAACATTAGATTATGGAGAACTGATCACTTTATGTATGTTTTTTTGTTGCGTACCACCTTCCTAATTGTTTACCTCTGGGGTTTTCGGTTAATTTAATCGTGTGACCCAGTTTCGTGAGAAAGGGGTAAGGATGGGTTCGTGAAGCTAAGAAAGATGCAGATATTGGATAAGACGCATCCGGGCACAACGTTTGGGGGTGAAATGTATTTTGTAGCCGGGTTCGGCTGTGGCCAACGTACACAATCTCACATATTCAGATCGGTTCGGAGAAGGCTAATAAATAATACGGAACACTGCACTTGGGTCAACATGATGGCCACTGTCAACCAAGTGAGCATGATCACGAATTATTGAAAAAAACTAGTCGGCTGAAATTGTGATCCAAATATAAGTGTGTCATCTCGGTTACTGCTTTAAGTGAAGCCCTTTGGATAACAGCTCACAGAATTTAATCTCCATGGCTAGATTCCGATTGTTCGGTGATTGTATACGTGTACGTATAGGGATACGTATGTATACGTATGGCTTATGAATGTCACACACGTGAATATGACCGATACGCTCGCTATGCCTCAGTGTATTTCAAGTCCAGTTAACATGCTCTATTTGCAGCAGTAAATTAGTTTGGGCAGAACTGACAGCCAACTGACAACCGTCTGGAGTCGGGCTAGTATGATATTAAATTATTATTGACTTGATTAGCACATTCCTTTTGGGGTTACATTACGCCCGATTTTTCTCCAATCGCCCACTAGTGTTTAGTAGATTTACATTCACCAATTTCCCCCAGTCTTCCGTTTCATGCAGATACTGTCTTGAATTTATGAAGTGGTCCGATGGTGAATNCAAGATTTTCTAGGTTTTTGTCCTTCCTGAATCGACCAAAACGAAAGCTCGTGCTGGTATGGTTCAGTGAGAGTGAAAATCAAGGAAACGGCTTTGGTGATAGATAAGTGGACATAAAGTACACAGTTGAACAGTTTATAGTCTCGTTCATGTGATGACGAAAATATCGCACTCTGAAGTCTTAATCATAACAAAGAGTATTGTAACTGTAAACGCTGCAGTGCACCCCAGAACAGTCTAACTGAGATACGAAAGGAAGAGATCATTTATGAAGCAAAACATGGGTATAATATGTACAAATAAGCCCCACTAATGACAGTCGAGGCAGGTGAATACTACCTGTGGGGAATTTCTCTCACAGTCACTGAACAGAGGACACAGAAAACTCCGTTTACGGTGGAATATTATTATTTGAATTTTGTTTAAATTTATCGGATATAAAATTTCGTATGTTTTGAAAACAATTTCAGCATTGGTGCAAACCCAAGGCTATTTAACTTTCACAAGTCACATGACACCAAGCTGCCTGGATCACGTGCAGCACAGCAGACCCCGTACGTGGACACGAATAACAGTGGGCAACTGTGCGCAGACATCTAGATTGGTGTGTGTGTATCTCGAAACGACTGGTTCTGGTCACATGAAACAAAAATCATTGCCACTATACTGAGTTGACCAATTACAATGAGATAAAACAAAAACAAAAATCACTGCAAAATAGATTTCAAGCCTGAATGCAAGCGTGCAGTCTAATACAATAAAAGTATTAAGAACTACAGGAAGCCTCTACAATAAACATTGATTATACATACTTTCTATTTTTTCCTGCATTTGCTGGACAAAATGAAATACGAATTGATGGCTATGACATTACTGATGGTAGAATAGGCCACATCTCCACTCACTTAATCCGGACATTTGGGCTTCGATCATTTCCTGACCGGACGGGGTAAAGTATGGGGAATTTACATCCCCCAAAGATTCCTCCACCGTTGCTCTCTCGTAATCACCCTGTGACGATGCAGCCATCGGTGATGACCTCGGACTGCACAGGTCGGCCGGATTACGTACTTTATCTCCCGCTCGACTTGAAGGGGCTTTATCTGACTGCTTCATGCGTGGTGAACTTGGACTAGTCTCATCTGGACGCGAGGATACTTGTTCATCGTAATCTGTAAGGAATTAAAATTTGGAAATTCAAATAATTTACTTTCATCGTCAAAATCGTCTGAAAAGATGTATTTTACTTACTTCTCTCCTAATTCACTTATGCTTTCTGCTTCTCGTTGGCAAAGTTAGACATGCGCACAATCACAACGCGGTTTGTGGTTGCATTCCGTTCAGCTAGGACCACAGTCATTATTCATCGGGTGGCAGTAGGGAAGCTTTAAACAATCAACATTGATAATCCTTTCCAATACCCTAAGCAGCAAACATTTTGTTCTAATCACAAATCAAAGAATTCCAATCAGTTCCAGTACCGTGTGAAATCGGCATATTTCATACTAATAAAGCAGTTCCTGTTCATTGCACGAAATTATCGAAAAATAGGTATGAACCGAATATCGATTTGCTGATTACCTCTTGCACTCTGCTGAATGAAATCATGAGAAATTAATCGGAATTGTGACAGATATCCATATAGAAATCCAAATTCCCACTAACCATTACCCTTTCCCATTGCTTATAAGATGTTCTTTTTTTCATTTTGGTTTATTTAAACCGATAACGCAGTTCTCGAGAATATACAGACATCGGTGAGAACAGAGTGATAACCACTTTTCCTGTCACAACTGACCTATCAGACTTGTACGTGCACATGACAGATTTGGTGTTATTGTGCAAACCTGCATATTTTTAATGCGTTTGTAAGGGACAATCAAGTAGATACAATGACAATGCTAAAGGGAAAACAGAACCGCAAAATTGGTGTTACTCAAATGACTCCCTAGTAAAAAAGAACAACCACTAAGGTCTAGAGTGACACCAAGTGAGCATTTGCGATCTGGGATCTATATCAAAGAATAACAAAACAGTACTGAATAATCTAAGACCGAGTTCGTGTGATCAAAACACCCAAAAAGCGAAAAACCTAAGCGTTCCTTTTGCGTTCGTTCGTCTTAGATCGTTAAGCACAGCAAAGTGTATCAGAATGCTTGATGAGCAAACCCATTATTTCACTGCTGGCATATTTATCATCATCGATTCGAAACTAAACTGGGGTCAGGTGACGACCTGGAAACAAATATAACTACCAGCCACCAACAACGCATAACAGAAGTCACGATAAGCTTCAATAAATTAAGAATTTTAACTTCCACTAGCAATACATTTCAGGTCAGTGAGATTGATAATAAAAGTGTGAGAGGGCGATTTGCACACGTTTGGAACTCTTAATAAGCATTGAAATTCGCAGATTTCGAAGACCGATGCGTTGGAAAACTTATAAAAGATAAATGAGCATCAAAACGTGACATTCATTCACTCTCATAAAGTGTCTGTTTGTCTGTTGCTCGGTTAATTTCTTTGACAGCCAGTGGCGAGCTGTGGGAGTTTTCCACCTCAATTTGCAGAGTGCTTGATGAGTTTGGTTGAAAAACTATGACACGGTTAGCACTGAAGGCTTTACATCCTTCGATAAAAGCAATGTAAAACCTCATTTGGAAAATTCTGTAAGCCGCGGTTAGTATAGTCAAAGTGGGCACCAATTGTCCTGCTAATTGACTTTTTTCAATTCAATTTTTCCTAACCCTAAGTAGGGGAGAGAAATGAAAACATGTAAAAAGTGAAGGATAAAAAATTTAAAAGTGTTTCATTATTCAGTTATTCGAATTTCATAAAAGAAAAAGATTGCACGAGAAACGTTTTGTTTGCAGTGCTTCTAACTGGATATTTGTTTCTTATTTATCCTCTTATTAAATGTATTATTGTTCACTCAAAACCTCCAATTGGAGAGTATATAAGCAAAGGCACCTAGGAAAAAAAAGCATAAAGAAAAAGGCACACAGAACAACGGTAATGAGAATAGACCAGGTTGTATGCCTTTTGTCTTGCTAATAAGAAATAGCGGTTGAGGGATGCCTAATTCGATCGGTGTTCGCAGTCGACAAATGTTGAAGAAAGGCTACATGTGATACGAAAAATGCTGAATTGGATGATGATTGCTTACTCTGTATGAGTCGATCAAGATGACTGATCACCATTTTGCAGCCAATAACAAAATGTTTCACTATTCGGCTGCGTGAACTCAATTTTGAGGAATTCCCCATTTACATAATGCAACCTGACAAGGAATTTATGAAGCCAGTATACCTTTCTGATCTATTGGAAATTTCATTTCTCCATTGGGAGTAAACAAAAGACAGCAACCAAAACCGGCACATGAAAGTGCATTGGTAATGGTTGTTAAAACTGAACTGAAACTGCTTGCGAGTAACCATACTTTATTCGATAAAAAGTAAATTTATTTTGTATTTATCATATTGAGTATAGAAGAAATATTATGTTCAAATAAAGTAGGAAATCGGTTTAGTTTACAATCTCGTTTCAAGTTTTATTGGCTAACTGAAACTAATAATTGCCAAGGGGATCGCACATGACTGAGCGCGATGATAAAGGGATAACCAGTGTTGCATAACTGTTTGTATACTTTACTCCAGTGTGCATTTGGATCGTCAATTATCATCATGTAATTATCTACGTAAAATTACACCGAGACAATTCTTTTTCTCAGCGGATAAACCTTACTTGCCCAAAGAAAAGAGTGTTGTCAAATTTTCAGTAAAACACAATGTTGTGCTATCCAAAAGGGTCATGAATTTGCTGGATTTTAGACGAAACGCCAGCACCATGATAATGGCACAGCAATATCCAACAAAGCCTACTTTATCAATTATTAGCAACTTCATAGCATGTAAACGGTAAGTTAGAATGTGAAAAACGAATGGGAAAAGAGGTGTGACCTGAGGAAAAACACACACACACACCAATTTAGGCATTCTGATCTGATCAGAAGTGACAAAAAGAAGGCCACTGCGGTCAGTTTGCTGGCATGTCTTTTTATGTCCCAATTCAACCTTAACCCGGAAGATGAGAGGTAACTTGTTTAGCTTATTTATTCGTGTACTTCTTCAAGCCACGTAGGCACATCATCCGTTGACCTCCGAGTAAATTCATTCTTACTGAATAGAAGGATACAACCGGAGGGAACTATGCAGCTGGATAGCCTAAGTCTATGCTGGGAAATAACCTCAGAGTATTCCCGTACTTTGGGGCCGTCGATGTAATGAGTTGAGAAAATGTTGAAGCTTCTGATGAACTTCTTGACTCATGTGGACCAATATACAAACTTTTACCTGGAGATTTCTACGCGTTTATCGATTCGTACCGCCCATCTGGTTTATGCAGCCAGCACTCTCTGATAGAATCCTTTAGATACTACTTATTAAATACTACTCCAAAAGCCAAATGGAGCCAATTTTGTTGCGGTCAGCAGCGTCTGAATCAAAAAGCAAAATTTATAATTACAAATGATTCATAACTGAACAACGTAAGAGCAAAGTTTTCCCTGAGATACAATTTGGAAGCTTGCGTAGAAAGATGGACGGAATGAGAAGCAATATCGAGTGGCCTCATTATCATTTTGATCAAACTGGGCATTACTTCTGTCACTTTATTTCATTTGAAAGCACTATTGAATGTAAAGAATTACTTTAAGAACTCAGGGTACATTTATCAATATCTTAAGCATTTGACAAAACTGTTCATCCTTTCCAGTCGTGTTAATAAATTCCAAAAGCTAATCTTTTTCCAGTCTCCAAAAACAACCAAAGCCAGCTTAGATGGAAGCATGATCAGTAAAACGATGGTTCAGTATGTTTGTAGATAACGGGAATGACAACGGTGATTTATCACAGGATAATACTGGCTTGGTAAATCTGTCCATCTGACCGGTTTTGCTGTCGCTACCGACACAGGTAGTGGCTTATGTCACAATATTGGTATCCCAGTCTTAGAAAATTGTCGAAGTCAAAAACGTTCTTCATACCTAATGGAGAAGCACCATAAAACAATGGTCCAGAACAACGTAATCTCAAAATATTTATTGTATTCAGTTGCATGCCAATGTTACAGAACTAATACTAATAATAAGATGGTTGAAGATTTGATTTAGTAGCGTAACTATTTAGGGATACTTGTATCATGTATATCGACATAATTTGTCTGTTTCAAGTGAAAGCTGGGCTTAACTTCATTCAAACTTTAACAACCAACCGCAAATAATTCACACCGTGAATCATCGAATTCCTCAGGAATTTCAATAACTCTTTGTTCATTAAAATACTGCATGATGCTTCAATTATTTCAACTCAATTACGAAACGCAGTTAATTTTTTATTTTATTTGCCGAATTTCTGTTAACCGAGTTCACATTTTCAGGAAATGACAAATGTTGGAAACGGCGAGCGAAACAGCTATATTGTGCTTTTTAAACTTTTCAAGGATTATTAATACAATCATTCATATTGGCGCATACACTGTTCTGATAACCGGTCTACTTAAGGTGTCAACCACTGCATTTATAAACAGGTAATTGTAAGCCTATACCAACAATAAGTTTAGTTTCTGTTTGTGCAACCATTAACCACGCATTAACCACGCGCCGGTTTTGGTTTCTGTCTTTTGGCCGCCCATTTAGATGAACACTAGGAGGAAGACAAGAAAGTTAAAAGTATAGTCGAAAAGGAAATGGAGAAATTCAGTTAACTAAAGACGCAAAGGAATTGAGATGCCCGAATGGCCCTGTTTACGACAATCGGCCATATCACTCAGTGTCTCTAACCATCGGTTACGATCATTCCGAGGTCACCAGGACTAACGTGACCGAGTCCCATGGTTAGGGTTTTCATACTCTCGTGCAAGGCCTTAGCCTGACCAACCTTGGGTTTATTCCACCCAATACCTGCATCGACGAACATCGCTTGCAGTGGCAACCCATCTAGTGACATGCGTAACACATGTCCCAACTAACGTAATCTATGGAGCTAAAGCTATCCAAAACAGCTTGAAACTTACCTGGATCTTCACTTAGTAGCACAATGTTGTCTGCATACTCTAGATCAGACAGTCTGCCACCTGGGAGTAAATTGATACAGCTATCCTCGCACGAGGGAAAGGCTGTTTCAAGAGTTAACTCTATGAAAGAATTAAATTGAAAAAGGAGAGAGACAGAGAGCAACCTTAACGAACACCACTTTCCGCGATGAACGTGGGGGAAAAATTGCCGTAAGCTCGAAATCGACTTCGGCTATTGTAAGATTGAAAATAAACACTTGAGGGAAAGGCAGCGCCAGAGTTTAGAGCGGTTGACTCAGTCCAAAGCTGCTTTCATATCGAGGAAGAAAAAGATCATTGGTTCACGAAAAGAATGTCGATGCCAGAGAACTTGGCGAAGAGTGAAGATGTGGTCGACACAACCTCGACCAGGTCTGAAACCAGCCTGATTCTTATGCGTGCACCGTTCACGTGCGGTAGACATTCGATGGCGAGAAGTTTAGAAGCAGTTTTGATTAAACTAACTCCTCTGTGGTTTTCACAAGAGGATCTGTCACCTTTCTTGTAAATCGGTATGATGACCGATTCACACCATTCAGTTGGAACCTGTTCTCTCTCCCAAATTGATCTTAGGAGCTTTGTTAACTCCGAGACTAAGGCTGAACCTCCATCGTTGAAAGCCGATGGAGGCAGCCCTTCCAGACCAGAGGCCTTATGCCTTTTGATATAACTTGTTTCCCGAGAAACCTCCATGGAGGACTGGTATCAACTAGGAGTATTTTCCCAGTCGAGGTGGAGGGTGATAGTTCAGATGTCGATGGGGGCCAGTTGAACTGAGCCTCGAAGTGTTCAGCCCATCGATAAAGACGGCGTTGCTGATCGTGAATCAGAGTGCCATCGGATTCCTTAATTACCTTACTTGCGCCTATTTTCCTGGGGCCCGTATCCCTAATTAGATGGAAAAGGTTGCGAGTATTACCAATAGTCGCAGCTTTCTCCATCTCTTTACACTTTTCTATCCACCACTTCTTGAGGTCATTCTTCAGACTCTTGATGAGCTGGCGTTTAGGAAATTTGTGCGGTGTGTCGTATTTGACATCCAGGGTGTCCAGCAGGGTAGCCGAGAAAGACATTTGCCACTGAATCTAAAATTTATCGCGCAAAATACGCTAAACGAGATCATCCGTGGATGAAAGTTAAGAACATCGATTGTGACAGAAATGCACATTTCAAAGAAGCACAGTTGAGACATAATTTGCCTGGTTTATGAATCAAAACTCTTCAGTGGAAATAGACGTGAAGGAATTCTTTTTACATACACGCAAACTAGTTTTGATAATAAAAGCTGATTGATTTAAATGCGATGGGAATGTTTGCGATAACCTACCAAGAGCACTGGACAGCTGTTTCATCCTGTTTGGAACTCGTCAGCAGTGCGTACATTTTGTTTCCCTATCAGGACTGGTGCCTGTGAAAAACTTAATGGGCTAATGCAAGCAATCACCGAGTAAGAACTAGTTGACTTTGTAGAGAACAATACTTTGAGGCGGAGGAGGCATGGATGTTGTAATCAATAGATCTTGAGATCTTTCCAAACAGGAAGGATAGCAGTCATGATTCAATTTCGTATGCGCTTGTCAAATGCCCAGATAGATTAGTAACTAAAGCACACTGTTTAATATTTGCATTAAGCACATCCGGATCAGAAATTAATGCCAAATCATTCGTTTCATGTTGTAGAGTAGTAAACTAGATCAGACAATCGTCAGGAAATAAGTCTCTTCGATACCGCTTCTCTACTGATTTGATCTTCAGTTCCATGCAATCATGTAAATTGGTTATTGTTTATCAAGCGATTGACTACAATGTAGTGTACTTATCAGACTTTGCTGCTCTGTGTAAAACTATTGAAACTAACTGCAATACACATCTAATTACCACACAGACGGTCACAGTAACATTTATGCATCAATAGCACATTGACCGGTTCAGTTGAGCTGTTTCTGTTATCAATAATAATATAATAACACTAATAACTTGTTAGTATCATTGTTTTTTTTCAGGGCTACTTACCAGTGGACCAGATCAAACGTGACGGATGTACGCTCTGTTTGACCAGAATCAGATGCACATGGTCCCCAGCTTGTCGAAGTGCACGCACGGCCTGATCGTGAGTAACCTCGACCAGCGAGGTCTCATTCACTTGTACTATCCGATCTCCAACGGAAATACGGCCATCAGTTTCTGCCACCCCGCCCGCAGTGAGCTGTACACAAAACAAGCGCCAGAAGGTAACACTCGGACCGTGAAGTTCCAAATAAATAACCAATGCGATTTCAACGTCATCATAGATGAAACAAACAATTCGGTCAAAACTGAGTCATTTATTGCTTATGAAGAACTCAAAACAAAAGATGTAAAAGGTAAGCCTCGTCAGTGTGAAGTAACCAACCGCTTGAGTTAGAACGAAAGGGAGCAACAAACCGGTTTTCTTGACCTTACTAATAAAGGTAGAAAAAATTGTAGGGAGAAGAAATGTAAAATACAGCTTAAAAGGACCGAGTGTGATGGATAATGGGTTAACAGTAGAGAGTCCATAATGAAAGGTGTTTTTATGAAAGTCTGCATTGCGATGGATTTCCGAGGATATTGATGGGATTAATAGGTTGTTTCCGAACGCATTGATAAGTGATCGAAGGGGAGTGATTCACTCAGTTTTGAATAAGCTTCTAAGAGAACTGGATCTTGCAGCCTCGTAAAACTATAATAAAAGGAAGACATACATAGAACTGATCGATACTCATTGAGTCGACAGATAACTCTAAACGTAGGTATCAATTTTCCCTAAGCTGGATTGTTCTGATAGAACATATCCTGAAGGTAAGATTTATTAGAGAACAAAATAGTCAACATATATCGATCAGTAGTTTCACTATCCTCTCGATGGTTCAACGCCAGACGTTCCAAACAAAAGTTATTCACAATATTTCATTAAAACACGCGACACAGGCGACTTGTGCATAATGGAGGAACCTGTTGCCCAGAAAAAACGTCAGACTTGTAAAGCTCTTGCTGCTCAAGAATATGGACAAATTCAACAACCAGAGCACATTCAAAGATAAATGAGATACAATCAACTGTTTACCTAATCAAGGAACGTGTTTTTCATTAGTTACAATGGACTCATATCCTTTGTATGGAATTTCCTCAATCTTTTGTAGATGCTACTGTGGTGCTTGTGACTAGTGAAAACCAATTACGGTAAGTGAAACAAGCTGCTTTTCTCAAATAATTAATTGGCCACGTGCAGTTAATTAGGGCAAAATTCAGCAGTGTTTCGTCCTGCTCGAAGTGAAGCACATGAGGTGCGCACGCATTCTACGCTTGTCCACATTTGAAACCCCTTTGTTATACTCACCACACTTGGGTCAAACACCGTTTGACATGTGCCAATGAAAGAAATATCGGGAGAATGTTTTTCAGTAGCATGGCGGGTAGAAGAGTCAGACGGCTTTCTAGTGACTGTTTTGGTTGTTAGTAGATGACATAGGTAATGCAACAAGGAAGGCCGTAGAGAACATTTGATGTTTCATCTACGATTATCAGATTACATGTTTTGATTCGGTATCAGTACGTTACGCTTTGAGCTGTCCTCAAATTTTCATGTCCTGGTCACCGTAAATTAAACTCCTGTATTTATTGATGTTACTCTATAATAGCAAGTAAACAAGAAGACTCATAAACATATAGCCCGAGGAGACGAACTGTCTTTGAAGTAAAAACGAAATGCTGGAAATGTGATGAAACTGATCAACAGAGCTTCTATTTTTATGTCACTTTTGGTGCTTAACTCATCGTTCATTTCATAGGCGTTTTATGCTTGTTGTAGGTACCTTTAGTTAGGTGTTTGTTATTCAAAATATTCGGGTTAATCTTGCTGCGAAAGATGAATGAACCAATATGCATTATGTAATTCCAGTATAATGATGTCACGAAGCTAAGGGCTACTGTGCAGCATTCATGTTGCAAACGTCAAATGAAAATGATTTGAGAAGCTTTCAGAAAACTTGTAAAAGTTTATTTGAAACTCGAACAAAACTATTTGAGGGCGGTCACACTGAGGACTGGCACTTCCCCGCAGTTGCACTGATGATGTTGCCTAGCCTGGCTACGAAACGTCTGCAAACAACACTTGCAGCTAGGAGGACACACCACCATGAACATCCACATCCCGAGCTTCAAGCGTTTTACATTATTTCCAATAATACCTCCTAGTTTTCTATTGAATACGTGTCAGATTACGTAATCCTCGTTTTTTTTCTCGCTCATGCTGATTACCTTGGTTACGAAAATTCCCGAATCACCATCCACTGTCTCGTTGCCCACACCACCTGCAATGCTGAATCCAAGACCACTTCGGGTCCCGCGTAGCAAAGTGACCTCCACCAATAATGGTCCTGGTTGAGGTGCTGGCACCGGACGGGAACTGATACTCACACACCCACCACTTGTGGTGACCGAATATTTGCCACCGCGGGATTCCGTACTCCCAGTCGGGGTTCGACGACTAGAGGCACTGCTTCCGGGCAAGCTACGATGCCCGCCCAACATGGCAGCACACCCTGTTGGCTTCTGCAGGCCGGTGCACCAGGAAAATGCGGGAAAGCTTTTGGGTGCGGATGGAACAGGGGAAGGTATGAAATAGAAAATCGCAGAGTTATGAATGCAAATGCAGGTAGATGATGAAGTTGATTGCCTGAAATAGAACAGAAACCTTTTCTGGGATAAACATTAACTTGAATGGAAATATCGGATCTCAGTGTATGGTCGTTCATAACGAGATAACAGAATAAACTGAATTTTCAGCTGTTATAAGGCGCTATCCATATTACCACTTATGACAACGATTTTAAAATATCGTTAATTATAACGGTAGAGATAAGATCAAAATGCATAAGCTACTCAACATTCTTAGGCTTGTCTTCTTAAAATTCTTTTTATCTAAGCATTTTGTAATTATAGTCAGACCATTCTCTTTTTGCTATGCTTTATCTTGCCAAGTGGCCCTAACACCAAATACCCTACTGGTTCAAGAAGTTATCGTCAAGCATACAAAATGCAGAGCGAGTTGAAGAAAGAACACATTTAGGTAATCATCAACTGCCCTACGAATAAGTTCTTTCTAATGAAGAATACTTCATTAGATATAATCAATAGTAAACTGGTGAGTTATGGAAGAAAAGGTTTGAAAACTAAAGACAAACGTATCATACCATAATATTATTATATGTGTATTGATCAATGAGCAATGTTAAATCCATGTATTTGTTTATGAAAAATGAAAGAAAAATATTTGGTTTATTCGCACTTTACGTTACATGATTCTCATTACACAGCGACAAAATAAATAGCAACATTCCATTTTTGTACCACTTCAAAGATGAGTTCGTGTAGGAGTTCATATCAGTTCACCTTGAGAAAACGTAAGGAAAGTTTTGTCAGGCAAACTGTGCCAAACGTAAATCCCTCAAAAAAATAAATTTAGCTGTGACTGTAAGGCTTCAGAATGGCGACAACAAAAAACGGGCAGGGTACTTATAAATTAGAGCGTGGAAAATCCATGACTTAAACACCGTACCACAAATAATACCGGTTATTCCGGCACGCATTGCAACCGTGTATGTCACATGATGATTGTCTGTGTGTTGGCGTTTACGTCCGGATTACTGTCAGTGATTTCTCTACCTATCCAGATAGAACAGTACACCCACATTAAGTGTCCACATATGTAAGCTGCTTGATCTGGTAGCCTAGCAACCTCTTGTGTACGCTTCAAATTTTATGTAGTCTAAGGCCACGTCATCCAAGCAAGAGTGAGGAGAGGAACAAAGCTGACGAAGTCGGAAATACTTCATGCATTTCAATCCAATGTTTCATTGCCCCGGTTGGGCAGGTCACGGTCGGTTATGAAAATTTTCTGGACGAATCCTTTCAAACGAGTGCACTTCACAATCTGGTTCACGTGAAACAATCAGGTGCATGTTTTGGTAAACCTGATCACAATACTGGGGCTTATGTGCCACATCCCCGGGTCGAAGGAACTATGAATAGGGCAACCATCATCCCAAAATTATCTAAGGGTGCACGGAACACTATTCCCTGTATCTCAGTCTAAACTGACAATCCATAAAATAAACACAGACTTCTCGGAAAACTCCGTTTAACAAATTATGTATACAGTTTGACAGAATAGGACTCAGTACAAAAATCTTCAACAGCTCGGAAAAAAATTCCGAATGCATAATTTTGGAACAATTTAGTGCCATCTCGGTGAATGGAAAGCGCAACTGTTGGGATTTCGTATAGAAACCGATTTCATGAAGCACGTTTTTCTAAAACAATCCTTTTGAGGACATCCTTCAATTCTTACTACCCTCAATCGACCTAAAACAATGTTTGCTAAAAGGCTCTAATTTTCGTGCAGATGAGAACAAGGAAGAATTCCTTCACATTTTGTATGCATAAAGGTCGATTTATCTTACATTCCGAATGTGCTAGTGAACAAATTCAAGATTAAAAGAAAGCTCCTTGTTTCTATGCGATAGTCGTTTTGTCCGAAGGTAGCGCAATATTCATTTAGTAAATACAAATACATACAAATCCCCGACTTACATAACCAATCGAGTGGTATATGATCTGTATTTGCAAAAGTAGAAATTCTGGTTGCAAGCATTTTCTGAAACAAGACCGAGATAGTAATATATTGCCTTTCCCAAGGGAGATCAACTTATGATCACTACTCAGCCGATTAGTTTATGCACCCGAAAAAGCGTATAACAAACTGTTCTAGTGTCAGGACGTAAGCCTCTTAGAAATCCGACGAGTCTAATCGCGTTCGATGACCAGGAAGTACTCCGGTTTGGAGTTTTCAGTCTAAAAACGTCTTCCGTGTGTTGATTGCATAGTCCAGTACTTATTGATACATAAAAAAACTTCGCGTTTTCTTCTGATGTATCGATGAGCCAAGAATGGTTGTAAACGGAGCTATCTTCAAACTTAATCGCATTGAATGACCATTGAATGGAATGTTTTCAGATCAATAAAAATTCCGAGATCTTAGCAATAATTGACAAATATGAATGTTATTCTTGGTATGTGTGATTACTACGTGATTATTTTAGGTGTCATAGATCAACTTTTTGCATTCTCTTGATAAAATTGCCCCCAATGTGATTTCTTGGTTCATCAAACCCACGCAGCTGATTTAGTTGAGGGATTGAGAGCAGACAGATTACCCAAAACCCTCCATTAGCCATACTTTCCCCAACGCATGCACAAGAGGACAGAAACTACTCGAAAGTTTTTCTATTAGTTGACCGATAAACTGCAAAAATATATAATCATAACTAGATTGATGGACAACCCAAGCCGCCCAGTAAGGTGATTCACTTAAGCCTAGGGCCCAGATTCCTCAGGCCCGTTTCAATTATTCTTTTACTAAGATGTTTTAATCATATACACTTGGTTCAATATGAAGAGATATCAAATACGAAAAAACTAAAATAAATGGTAACCCAAACGCACTGTAACCGGATAGCAATTGTTTAGGAATATTTGTATTCTCTGTTCTACGAAAATTACAGGGTTCGTCAACCGTTGATCAAATGTTATTATTGTGTTTGTAGAAGGCTCCTGCGGGTCGGAGACTAAAGTGAGGAAATATGATGATGTTAGACTTAAAGTTGATACCAACGCAAAACAAATCATGACAAAGAACCTAGGACATAAAAGGCAGTGCAAACCATCAAATGGGTCTTGCTATTTCTCTATCTTAGACTCAAGATAGTGTTTATATTAAACTATTGTGAGTTTGTATCATTTTGACATTGAGACATACAGAAAACAACTCGCCTTTTGTTAAAAACAACTCACCTTGCAGGTATCAAATTCTTTTTTGACTTTCGATCTACTGTGGCCGATTTAACCATGCCAGAGAATAATTTGCAATCCAGTTGGTTCATATAGCCCATATCCAAGGAAGACTGGCGCTTTGTACGGGTTGGTTGTTCTTCTTCCGGTTTCTCTGCCGGCGACCAACCTGGCAACGGTGGTTCTGATTGGACTACACCGGACTCAGAAGTGGCCGGTCGTCCGCGGCCCGCGGATCGACTTCCACCTGAGCTTAGTGTCTGTTTGCTGGTGCCTGGATCAAACAATGAGCCACTAACCAGGCTAGTATTGGTAAGACCAGCACTGCTCATACTCATCGCACCGGCGCTTCCTGTACTGGCCCCGGAACCGCTGGTTCGTGCCACGGGTGAGGTAGACACGGGAACTGTGGGTAAATTTGTCATGGTCTTGGGTCCGATAGAGGGAGCTGGTGGTAAGGATATGGATGAGCTGGCCTCGGAGATCGATTGTGGATTGCGGCGTTCAACCACCTACACGTACGATGGTAGGAAGAATTATCGCATAAAAGAGTAATAGTAAATTACGTGGTAGTAAGATCTGACATTTTGAAGTGTGTTACATTTGGCGGTTGCTTCCTATTATAGTTCAAAATTCATTGCAATATACTAAGGAGCAAAGCCAGGTTCCTGAAAGCAATGTTCTTAGGGAAGAAAACACTAAAACTAGTATGTTCAACTATATATATATATATACATATATATATATATGGGGCCAAAATAACTATGTGGAAAGAGAAATATGGAACCATTACGAGGGAGAAAAACAAAAGCAATCGATTCCGGGTAGGGAATAACACACTGCACGCAATTTGGACTGCTTTTGTTTGTTTTACTTTTGGGATTTAATACAGAAAAGAGTGCTTTCACGCCACTGACTTCGGTTTGATGTCATACTCCGCAGTGATCACAGTGTCTCTTCTTATATTCAACTCCTATCTATCATTGAAAGGGTTACAAACGTGGATTGAAGATTGGGACAGGCGTAGACCAGAAAACTTGGGAAAATACTTACCAATTTCAGACGACTACCGGCCAGTTGCAGTGCGCGAACCGCTTCCTCGTGCGATACACCAATCAAACTGATCCCGTTGACTGAGATTATCCGATCACCAACTCTGAAATGCAGAAAAGTGTCATGCATGCGAGGTGGTTAGCATTGTATCATCAACTCCGTCAAACGAAGATTTCAATCCCTGAAGTAAAATCTGATTGCTGGGATCAGCAACAGATCTAATTTGATTGGGATTTGCAATAAAGACTTAAAACCTGTCAAACTACAATTTGGGCAATTAAAAACTAGTGAGTTTTATACCAAATTTCTGTGCACGTGATGGGGTGGTTAGAAACATCAACTCAACCGAACAATAAATAAATTTGATTTCACCTTCTGTGGTTGAGGTTGGTGGATAAGCAGATGCTTCGAAATGCATTGAATAGAGCCCCTAACATGCATGTCTCCAGTTATATTTCTCGAGGCAAATACAGTGCAACTAAAAGCCACCATTATTTAGTACTTCATTATTTGGTGAGTAACCCGATTCCGAATAACGCATAGACTGATGAAGAACCCTTAGCAATCAAATTGCCAAGTCCAGTGAACAATTGACCATCTATACAGTTTGTAAACACAAACGAAGTTGGTTATGCATTTGGCAGTAATTACTGCAAACGGTCTTGCTTTTATGAGGAATCACTGCAGTGCATTTCTACTAAATTCATTGAGTTTCACAACCACCGAGCTATCCTGGAACAGGCTTTGGAACTTTACTCCAGGCCAAGTCGTATGACCTACAAACGTGCAATTTTTTCAACTAATTTATTTTCAAATTTAGGAGCACAAATTGAACAAATATTGAGAACTTTGACATTTTACGTAGTTTCATGATTGCTCTGAATCATTCTTCTTCTAACAGACCTGGTATTTCACGTGGGTTCATTCTGTTGAGAATAATAGACATTTAGGACTTATTCATAATATCTAACCTAATGGTTTTCCGTCGTTCTAGATACCCGAATGAGTCGCTTAGAAAACTAGTACATTGAATATGTGATTCCGTAAGGAATCAGAAATTCTGATAGGTTTTATCTAGCTGATTTTTGGTGACCATGTTTCAACAAATCATTATCTGAATGGGCACAAAAACATGCAAAATTAAAATTTATCGTCTACGAAAACTTCCTTCACTGAACTGAAAATACTTCAGTTCACTTTCGCACGATGGAATAAACAATTTTGTGCTGTTTTTGTTCATACAGGCGTATTATTCTTGAGGCCAAATGCACCCACATTTGAACATCAAAACAAATTTTAACCAGGGAGGCAAGTAAAAAAACATTTGTTTCCTCGTCACACTCCGAATCCATATAGCTGATTGTACTTTTGATGTCCAACTATGCATCCTCGTTTATTTTGGAACACAAAAACGCACGCAGAAAACCGGAACATTTTGATTGGTAAAACCCAATCTATTTACGATTATACTGAGCAAATGCAACTACGGGATAGTAAGTACATCCGCGTTGTGGGACTGCATGGGTGAATCAAAAACGGTGCTAATTTCTGAACTTCGCAAACCACCGTGATTCATGTTCACGTGAGGGACAAAAATATTTCGGGACAATGTGTGAAATCAGACAGGGGATTTCATTTTGCTAACCATTATTCTTCAGAGATAAAACTCTTACAGCCTATTTGATACAGACCAAAAAGGTTAATGAAATGCCATGAATCAACTAGTCGGGACAGTTGCGAGTACACATATACCGAAAGAAGTATAGCCTAGGACAGGGCAATGATCCAAACTGCGTCTGATTATAAAAAGGTTGATTCCCAGTGGTGCATCAATGGAAAAACAAGAAATGGGCAACATTCGAAGTGGTTCATCACAAGCCTCAGTATGTGTGTTTATTTCTGTTTTTGTGTGCGAGTGTGTCCCTGCGCTCACATGTAATGAAACATTTTTCGTCCACACAAGATTCATCAGTCAGATGGAAGCGACAACGGCCCACACATTATTATCTAGACGATTCCTAATGTCCTGTCTCTTTTCATCACTACAGCATCTTTTTTCTCATTAACGGACTCCTGTCAGAAACCAGTTCTCCTTTCTGTCTTCTGTTTGTAGGCTTGTGCAGCAAAATTACGTAAATTTCATTTGTTTTGTCAATTTGTTTCTGATTGAAAGCTTAACAGTAAATTGCAGCAAAAAGTAGTAAATACAATGAAAAAGGAGGTAAGATACGTGCATGGATCGTTGGAGAATATATTTATTTTAAAATAATGTCTATGTTATTGAATCATTCTATGCATTGTGACCAAAAGCTACCATTTGGTCGTGTTATGAAGATAGTTTGGTTATCCTAACCCACATCAGGCGTAACAAGAACTAAAAATCTCCATTTGTATCATGATATTCTCTGAAAAATCCTTCTCACATGGCTCAACTTAGTTCTGCTCCATTGTCGAAAGCTCATATGTTTCGTTTCTGTCTCTATATCTCATTTCCAGCTATTTACCGTTCGAAATTGTAAATAAGTGATACCACGGTTTACAAAATAAGTTAAGTAACTGTTTTTTGCATTGGGGATGAAACAAAACAATTGCACTCATTATATCCACCTACTATTGCAATCATTTCATATTAATCCTTTTTTAAAACTAGAACCCTAAAATGCCTGACCATTTTCGAGATTAGTTTCCTGCTTAAGATGAAGATGTGTTACAAATCCAAAGATTAATAAGGCCTGTATGATTTCACAAAAAGGTCGTTGTTAACTGTGTTGAGTGTTATAATCATTTGAATTTTCAAGTGGCACAAGGTAAAATCCATCCATAAAAGAACATAATAATTAGCCCCAAAACAATCTCTTTCTGCCATTCCTAACAGCATAATTTCTAATGCAAGAATCTATAGGGAAAATGGTAATAAATAGAAAGGAACGCGTTGATTTCTGTCGTAGCTTTGGAAGTTGTGAACAAGTTTTGATAGTTACTTACTGAATCGTGTGAATTTTTCTTGAAACAAACCCAACATCTCTAAAGTAGTACGTTTACACACTAGTCATTGCTGAGGCGATAGGCATTGGCCTTTTCGCACCAGAAATTTGTGCACAAAAGCGACTGATTCAAGCTCTCCACTTACCTTGGCCCCAAATTGATCATCAGCATCACCACTCTCACCAACACTCTAGTCACAATCAATGTCATCCGAACACAGACAAACAGGGCTTACTCCACTCCTCCCCACTTTCCATCCCAAATTACCTTTCAACCCAGTGTGAAAATGTGTCCTCAATAACGAAAAACCCTTATATGATCTGTACAGGCAGGATTATGAATCATTCGAAAACAATTGTTCGCCTTCGGACTTGTGTTCTGATGTTACAGTGAAATTATTCTGGAATTTGAAATAAAATGAGATCAGTTCATGTAATCTTTAAAAAGTTACAGTGTACCTCCAACCAAATCCGCTGAATTTTATTACCGCTGTTTTCATGATGCTGCTCTAATTTTGACTTCGTCACACCAATCTGATGTCGCTCTGGATTTCAACAATTTATTTTCGGTAATGATCATTTTTCAGTGAAGTATGGAATTGTAACTAGTGTTGGTAACATTTAACCTTTACCCTGCCTGTAAGTGATCAAAACAGTTACTAAATGCAAATAAACTCCAACAGTGAATTCGCAAAATTGAAAAAGATTTGCAATATACAACACAACATCTTGTATTACAGTTATTTGCTAAAGCGATCTTCCCTACATCAGAAATGAACTGAAAATAGAGCACAAAATGAAGGTCATCTACCGTTACCATTTAAACACTTGTCACCGTTCAGCACAAACCGTGCTAAGAGTTTTATTTAGGCAATGCATTCCAACATATTTGGAGTGGTTCCCGTGTTCTTTTCTTAATATTTTGCTCGAACGTAAGCGCATGCTAAAATTGCTTTGAAGCATGCTGTTGGGTTTTGTTTAGATCAATTACCACAGGTTACTCTGTGGCTAGAAAACGACGAGCCTGCCTTGATGGCTTCCCTCGAAACTCTAAACAGGGATCGAAGTGCTACAATCGCGTCCATCGTGTGACGTGTTTATGCTAGATATGGAACCCCCTCTCCGATAAGCAAATTAATCGTTCCATTGTTTTCCAATCATGAGAAATTCTCACATTCATTGGGGTGGACAAAGGAGAACATATTCCCCCTGAAACTATAGAAATTCGTCTACAACACCCCCTTCCGTTTGTTTAAAAATAACTCATTCATGTGCTCTGTTTTGCCTCAGGCCCCAAATATCTCAGTGAATTTAAGTGATCAGATGAAAAAAACAGTTCATGATTATTATGATTTTCAAAGCCAATTAGTCAACAGAACAAAAACTTGGCAATCTGAAATGTGGTTATCTTTATTTCCCCCAATGGTTCTGCTATGCTGTCTATCCCTCTATCTAAAAATATGTGTGGGATAGTAATGTATTTTTATTTGGGTTTCAGATTTAAGTGAAAAATTGAAATCATACTTGTTTTTGCATGATCACGAATCACTGGAAGCGAGCCCTTCAGTACTTTCTTTAAGATATGTCCCATGGGAAATTTCTGATAACAATGCGTTTATTGATGAGAGGTTTAACTAATCAACGTGCGATTAATGATACTACTTAGTTTGGATTGACAGATAAGTGATTTACGGGAGCAGGATAAAAATCTCCTGAATATTATTGAACTTGGAGGTAGGCAATGAAGGTTAGTCATTTCGAGACCTCGGAAACAAGCTAAACAGTGTAGTAGAATGCGAAGCGAACGTTTTGGTTGCTAATTAGCATTTTCACCGACCAATGTGAACTTTTACATTCGTTGTACACTGGCCTGACT